CGATCAGGACCTCGGAAGCCTAAACCCAAGTCGACCGATCGGACCACCAGTGCTACCGGATCAGATGAGTCGAATGTCAGACTGGAGTCTTACTTTCAGGCCGCGATGGCTCGATTTCTGAAGGAACAACAGGCTACGGTGGTAACACCTACTACAGTGGTGGACGACAACGTTGGATCGCGGGACGTGGGGATGGAATCAGCCGGATCGCCGGATCGCCGGATCAAGATATCTCTCAGTGGGAATACGATCCGGACGATATTGATCTTCCGAGTTCGGCCCCTGCTGTGGTGGCCACCGCTGCCTCGGGATCCACCGGATCCTCGTTGATCCAGCGTGTGCGAATCTTGGCAATGCCCGTTCTTAAGGAGTTCAGTGGCAAGGATCAGGATGAAGAACGAGCCCGATCGTGGATCAGCTAGGTGAAATCGGCGTTCCTGCGGGATCAGGCTACGGACGAAGAGAAGTGCCAACTTTTGCTGACTTACTGACGGCCGCGGCAAAGAACTGGTACCGCCAGCTGGGTCGATCGACGCGGAACAAGTGGAGCGATCTACTCCGAAGTTTCCAGATCCAGTATTGTGGCCTGGGAGTATCGGTCGCTTGGCAGTACTACCATTCTCGCAAGCGATCAGATGAATCGCCGTTGGAGTACCTTTATCGACTGAATGTGGCAGCTCTGCGTGCGAGATTGAAGATCAAGGATGGAGATTCTAAGGCTCGTCGCGAACATGTCGAACACTTTATTGAGACGCTTGCCGATCCCGAACTAGCCGATCAGCTAATCCTACTTCGGCTTGCGGACACAGAAGATCTGGAGGAAGTCCTGGGCGCTCGAGAGCGTGCGAAGATCAGACAGAAGCCATCTGCCTTTGGATCGAAGTATCGTTAGAAGGTTCCGACCTCAGCACCAGCTGCTGCTATCAAGCGGGCAGTGCGTGCAGTTCAGATCTCGAGCCAGGAGTCTGGATCGAACACTGAATCAGACGGATCTGACTCGGAGGGTGATCTACGTCGCGTTTACCTAGCGTCGGCTGAGGACAAGTCTCGCAACACTGGGGGCGACACGACGAAGCAGGATCGAAGCAACCAAGCACAGATCAACGATGGCTCACCTCGATCGGATCCAAGATCGCGATCTTCGCCTGATGGATCGGAGCGATCAAGCCGCTGCTCACACTGTGGATCGCGGAAACACACCGATCTCGGTTGTTGGAGACGTTTGACGTGCGAGAAGTGTGGAAAGAGAGGTCATCCGGCGGATCGTTGCTTGTTTGTGTGCCGTGGGGGCGGTGAACTACACGAGATGGGCAAGTGTCCGATGGAGGAATTCTACAACCAGATCCGTCAATGGTTCAACCCAGTGAAGCACGCTGGCATGTTGCCCGCGATCACCGAGAAGATGTTAAACTAGGATGATCGCCGGGTTGGCATCCGGTACGAGCCGAGCGTTCTAGGTACTGCATATATGCATTCGTAAACAAGAACACGGTAGTTCGAGTAAGTGGACGGACTGATCTACGCGGTAATACATGTGATCTGCATGCGAAATCTGCCGCCAAGGTCTTAAGTCTACATCGATAGGGCGACTGTAGCCGTTCTGACCCCGAAGTGCCCTTGGATCTCCAGTCTGGAGAAACGCGGGGCTATTGGAAGCAACGCAGACCGGAAAAATGGTTCAAGGCAGCTGATGGAGAAGTGACGACCGAGATCCTGGAGAATGATCGCGATCGAAGTCTGCCTCGCGTCAGCGAACGCCCCAGATCTGGCGATGTGGTGCCCGATCTCCTTCCTGGGGAGTCCAGAGGGTACTGGAAACATCATTCGCCAGGTAAGTGGTTCCGTCAGGCCAAGATCACAGGCAAGGTCAACAATGAGAATTCGATCTTACTCTTAGATACTGGCGCCGAGGTGGCCATCGTGGACACCGCCTTTGCTCGTAAGGTGGGGTGCTATGTCGACACGTGTCAGAGCCAGGAATGTGTGGGGATTGGTGAAAGCGTGTACATGACGGAAGGAAGGACCAGGATCAAGGTTACGCTGGTAGGATCGCTGGTGTATTTCTTCGATATCTGGGTCGGCGATCTATCAGGACAAGAGGCGATCCTGGGTATGGACTTTATGGTTCCAGCGGGGATCCGCCTCGATCTTGCGGACGGCTCCATCTGTCTCCCCGACGAAGTCAAGATCCAGCTTAGCGGACGACGACAGCTGTACAACGACAACCTCAGACACGTGTGTGTGAATCAAGGAATGCAGATCGCGATCGGAGATTCGATTGAGCTTCCACTACGAATGAAGGTGGCAGATCGACAGAAGCTATGGGTCACCCGTGGAGATCTCTGGGTGCCGACCGTGGTCCGTGGACCTGGCAGGATCGGATATCTCCAGGTTACCAACATCAGCGACAAGGATCTCGTCTTGTAACGAAATGAACGGATCGGGATGTGGCTGGCCGGAGATCGGATACCCCGGACGCCAGGCTATGTGTCGATCGGATCCCGTCGCTACATGTAATGGCAGAATCTAGCCTTCCAAGCCACGACGGATGACCAGCCTTCAGACCAGGGGGCGTCGACGGAACCTCCAGTGCCCGCCGTCGAGCGACCGACTTATCCAACGCCTCGATCCATTCTCAGGAGACACAAGGTAGCCCCGATCGCCGATCAGTGGATGGGTCCACCCGATCCAACGAATGAACCCGAGGCTAGTTGCCCTGATCCGGGGGGGGGGGGGGGTCGTCGTTGATGCTCTTAGATCAGGGGGCGGACCGTTGCAGAACGCTGATCGCGTGACAGAGGAGTCAGGGTCGTCTGCTTTAACTGTCCTCGTCGGAGATCCACCAGACCCACGGTCGGATCCTGATGAGTCGGTGTGTGAACCTTCCGGATCGGAGGACGAATGCTCTCCAGAGCAGGAACAGGTGGGGCTGGACCCCCAGCCTTCGTCGATCACGGATCATAGATGACGCGAAGCCGCAAGATGATCGTACTGGTGACTCAAAGGGGAAACCAGATCATGTGGATTCCTGTGTTAAAGCAGCTGAGAATGGCGAAACAGTGTCCCCTCACCTGCCATCGGCCGATCAGGTCGACGGTTGTGCCGTCGAACCAGATCTTGGGGGCGGAAGTACCGATCAGACGCGCCATGTGGTGGTTTTAGCTGTAGAAGAGTCGAGATCAAGTGACGATACCGCAGCCGACGGTGTCCCAGCATCTGAACAACTGCCGCAAGTGGTCGAAGACTCGTCGATCAATGGAGATGATCAGGTGAAAATTGAAGCCAAACCCACTTCAAATCGGGACGATCTCGTTACGTTACATCCGAACCAGATGAAGACGGTGACGCTGACGATCAGGTCCGTTACCCACGAAGGCGGGATCCTGTCGGCAGAAGATGTGGAAGGCGAGCTAGCTGTGCTCCCTGAAATTGTGATCTCGACGACGGATGAGGTGAAGATTGATGACATCAAGGTAGGAGATCTGGAGTTCAATACCCCGGAGGAGATAGATCGACTGCGCAAGAAGATCTGGCACATGAATCACCTGCTGATCGGCAAGGGCAATGCACTACCCCCAGCAGCCCGGGGCGTCACCTGCGACATCGACGAGGGCGGCGCGAAGCCGATCGCTCAACGTGTCCGGAAAGTTGCCCCTCAGTTCGTGGAGAAGGTGTCCGAGCTGATCAAGGGATTATTGTCAGCCAAGATGATTCGGAAATCTCGATCACAGTGGGCCTCGCCGATCGTCGTGATCATGAAGAAGAACGGCGTGGATATTCGACTCTGCATCGATTATCGGCTCGTCAACACTCTAACCAGGCTGATGATATATCCGATGCCCTTGATCAACGATTTGCTGGAGGATCTGGACAAGGTACTCTGGTATTGCTCTTTCGACATGGCTAGTGGATTCTGGGTGGTGACAATGACCGATCGAGCTCGTGCGATCTCGGCCTTTATCACCCACATGGGTCTGTTCGAGTGGGACCGGATGCCGTTAGAACGCTCCTCAGATCTACCAGCGACTTCTGGACGACGCGTTGTATGGGTTCACCAGGATCCCGCGATCGTCGGACTGTGAAGTCACTACGGACTTGATCGAGTCAGGAGAACCAGAAGATCCGGGGCGTCCATCAGTTCTGGGTCGCAGATCGTACATTGATGACATCCTGGCGACGGCCGGATCATGGGACGAGCAGTGGGATGGTGTGGACCATCTACTGGATGCTTGGGATAAGTGGAACCTCTCGATCAGTGTGGAGAAGAGCTCTTAGGGAATGCATAAGGTGGACTATCTCGGACATCGTGTGTCGAACGACGGGCTGGAAGCCAATCCGAAGGATCTCTCCGCTCTGATCGATCTGCTGTTCCCCGGATCGCTCGGATCCATGCAATCAGTTTTGGGCAGTCTCAACTACTACAGGCGTTTCTTGGAAGATTACGCGATCTACGCGGCGATCCTGTATGAACTGCGCGCGGTGGACTTCGCCGAGCTGAAGAAACGCCCCGATCTGCCCCAGATCCTCGATCGTCAGGTGCCGAATTCAGTGCATACGGACCCAGTGAACCCCGATCGGACTCCCCAGTTCCCGAAGTCGATGCTGCCGATGAACGCTGGATCCGTGCTTATCGTGCCTTTTCGACACTGAAGACGAAGATCGCGACGACGTCGATCCTGCGGCATTTCGATCGCGATCGGACTCCAGTTGTGATTTTGTATGCGAGTGGCTGGGCGATCTCGGCCGCATTAATGCAGGAGCATGGCCAGATCTATCATCCCGTTACCTTCGCCAGCCGAACGCTGAAGTCGAATGAATTGAACTACAACGTGGTGGAGAAAGAAGTGCTCGCGCTGTTACGGATCCTGGACCTGACCTATAACATGCTGGTTGGACGATCGATCCGGGTCTTGACCCGACACTCGACGTTGACGTGGCTGTTCCGATCACCCGGTCTTCAAGGCCGATTGGGTCAGTGGGCTACACTCCTATCGCCGTGGACGCTAGAGATCATGAAGTGCCCAAGGGAGAGGTCGAGATATTGGGGGCGATCGCCGCTAGTATTACGCCTCGATCGGATGTGGACGACGCGTTGATCGCGATCGCGCCGAAGAAAGAACCTCGGTCAGGCCTCCCGAAAATGGCATTAATAGGGAGTAGCCACCTAAGTCACCAGATAAATAATGCATGTAGAACTCAAACAAGGAACCAGACATAATGGAAAATGCTGAGACCCTCAAAGTAATAATGCATTAAATTGCTTCTAGATTAAAAAACCTTAATGCTTTCGTGCACTAACGGGGCATCCCAGTAAGACCTGTTTACCTTTAAGAAGAGGATCATCTCGATCGACTGCGCCGAAAGCGAGTGGCGCTCCAGGCCAAAAGTCGATCTCGCCATGCTGAAGAGACGCTCGGTCAGGTTGGAGGTGGGAGGGATGACGTTGATAAGCTCGTAGAGCTTGTCATCCGACGTCACCCGAGCCCGCTTCAGCACTCATTCAGCGAAACCTTCGGTGCCTTGTTCCTCGGGCTCGCCCTCGTTCGTGCAGCTGCTAGCGTTGACCACGAACGGCCGCACCGCCATTTGCTCCTGTCTGGACAGCGCGTGCTGGTTGTCCTGCTGAATCTTGACGCAGGCAGACTCAAAGTCGGGAGACGCCACAATATCCGCCCGCGGTCCTAAGAAATATAAAAAACAAGTTAGAAATAATAAGTAGCAACAATAGCAGAAGCAATAAACGCGTACCAAGGTATTGCTTGAGAGCAGGTTTCTCGGCGATTAGCGCGTCGAACATGACCCGCACCTCCCACAGCGATACCGACTCGGACTTTAAACGATTGGACACTGATTCGAACTGCTTGAGGTCTTCCAGGAGGCCCTTGAGCTTTTTGTGCACGCTGGGAGACGGGAGCAGCTCCGCTACAGCATCGTCCTCGCGGTCGATGAACTCCAAAAGCCGCACGTAATGGTCGAGCATCGCAAAGGTGGAGCTCCAGCGAGTGTCGTTGCGCAGCACAGGGCGAAGTGTCGTCTTGAAACTAATATATCAGTTTGAAAAGGGTTAGTAATCTGAGATAATAATAAAAATACAATTGTAAATAGTATTCATACAGTAGTAACCGTACCGTAGTTTCGCCGCGTGATTCAGAGTTCTCAGCTTGACCATGAGCTTCTGGATGCCAGCCAGCGCGTTCTCCAGTGGGGCCGTGTACAGGCGGACTGCCAGGTTTAGTCGGTGACTCGCGCAGCCCACGAGCGGCACACCCATGATGCGAGCCAGACGCTTATTCACAGCACTGTTATCACTTATCAGAAAGCAGACCTGGTTGATACTCTTACCAAACCTCTGCAGAATGGTGGAGAGCGCTGCCAGGTGCATCTCCGCTCCGTGGTTAACCTCAATAGCCGGCGCGTCTTCGCTTGGAGGCTGCACAACTGGGGCGAGGCAAAGCAGCGGGGTGTGAAGAACACCGTTGAGCTCATAGCAAGCGTAGACAGCCATGAAATGCTCGGAAGCATGCATCCAGTCGTCGAACAAGATGCCAATCTTGTCTGGCATCTCACAGCCAATCTTCACCTCGACGGCCCTGTTGACTGCCTCCATGTCGCCACCGAATGTTTCGACGCAGACCTGGCCTAGGTTCGCGTATCTATTGCAACAAATTAATATCCATCAGTAGTAAAACAGTCGTTAGTATATTAAATGATCCACGCTCAGAATAGTAATGAAAGTACTTACCGCCGGGTTAGCGCCTGCTCGCAAAAGTTGAAGGGCAAGTTGCCCATGACCACCCACTCGAGCCAGCCGAACCGGTTCTTGGCCTTGTGGCTGATCCAGGGCAGGATCGAACCCGTCGCACCAGACCCAGCCGAGAGCATGTCCGCCTCAAAGCCAGGGTGCTTGACGGACATGCTGGGTGAGGTTGCTGTAGCCCCGCCCGACAGTCTGCTTGAGCACGCGCTGGCAGTCCTTGTATGCGAAGTACTCGGTGGGCTCGCCGTTGTCGTCCAGGCACGGCGAGAAGAAGAACAGTGCAACTTGTTTGTTGCTGAACTTGGGGTGAGCTTGAGGGTTGGAGGGCACGAGGTTGAGCATTGCGGCAAGCTTGGCGGGCAAAGGGTGGTGTTCTTTCTGAAGTAAACTGAAAAGTGAGAGGAAGTGGCAAAAGTACTGTAGTGGGGCCAAGCTGTTGGCCATTGTGGTCCGTAGGCCGGAATGGTTGGTGTGAAGAAACCGGAGAAATAGTAATATTAGTTTTATGGCTTTTCTACTATCACATCAATTTAGCATTAATATAATATTGGCGCAGTAATAATTGCTGCATCTGCTCAGACTTCTGCAATAAATAATTGTGTGAAAAAGTGTCAATTAATTTATCTACTAATTGATTTTTCGGGCGGCCTGACCCCGGCGGAAGATTCAGGCCCCGGTCCCGACTGTGCGTGCGGACGAAGAGCTGCTGGTGATGTTGCCATAGGATCGAGCCTCATCCTGTGTCAGATCAGCCACATCTCCCATCAGGTACTTCTTCATACCTGCGATCCACGTTTCTTCATCCTGTGCTCGACGAATTCGATCGATTCGCAACTCTCGCACGAACTCCTCCTGCATGACGGTCGGGTTTGATGGTGATCTGGCGCCCGATCGGGTAGTCATCGGCGATAGTCGGGCGATCGACTCATCCGATCTGACGACCAGGATCTTATCAAGTCGGTTCAGTTTCACCAGATCCCCGTGATCGGCCTCATCCTCGACGACGACGCCCCCTTCACGTTGGAGTGCTGCACTGGCCAGGCTGTCTGCACTTTCGTTCCAGTCTCGTTTCACATGTAAAAGCTCGTGATCTGGCCAGTTCCGTAGTTGATCCAGCACCTTCTGCTTCAACAATGTCAACTTAGGTGCTTTGCAGTTGATCTCGCCTCGTACTTGCCGGATCACCAAGTTGGAGTCACCGCAGACCACCAACCTGCCTCGATCCATGCCATCAAGGACGTCGAAACCCAACAGCAGACCATGATACTCCGCCTTGTTGACGGTCAGCCCTTCAGCATAGCCCGATCGTGCCTTCACCACACTCCACTCGGGCAACTTCCACAAGATCGCGCTGTATGCGCCCCCGCCTCGCTCGACGCTGGCGGATCCATCGAAACTTATCGCAGCGGACTACGAGATCGACGGTGATAATCTGCTGTTCTATTGCCCACCCTCCAAGCGATCGGAGGCAGATCGAGATGGACTGATGAGACTGGTTGCACCGGAGCCGCTGCATCAAGATATCTTGCATCACTACCACTCCACTGTGGAAGGGGGGCACCAGGGGATCGGGCGTACCTATCAGCGGATCCGCGATCACTTTCACTGGATAGGTCTCATCAGGAGTGTGCAGAAGTACTTCGGTGAATGTGTCGACTGCAAGACCGGAAAAGGACGACCCACGACCAGGGGCGAGTTGCCGGGAACATCCAGGCGACATACCCGTTCCAGATCATAGCGATGGATCGCATACTTTCGCTGCCGATGTCGTACAAGGGTAATACGGAACTGTTGGTCTGGGTCGATCTGTTCACGGGATACGCGATCGCGAAAGCCGGTTCGTCCCGAACGGCGCAGACAATCGCCGAGACTTACGAAGAGTGCGTGTTCCGGCGATTTGGTGCTAGCGAGGTGATCAGGCATGATCGCGAACCGGGATTTATAGCCGACTTCTACCGCGCCTTTAACAAGATCCTGGGTATGCGTCAGCGAGCGACGATGGCATATCGACCTCAATCTAACGGTACTGCAGAGCGAATGGTACAGACGGCGACAAGAGCCCTGAAGGTGTTCGTGGAGGATCTGGATCAGAGAGATTGGGATGAGTAAGCAGATCGATTGACCTTCGCGATCAACACGGCTCAAGGTCGAGTCCGTGGAGACTCCCCTTTTTATCTGGTGCATCGTTGGGATCCTCGATCGACACTCGAGGCGACGATACCTTTGGGTATTACTCGGACTCGGGATCGGAATCCTCGACGGTGGCTTTATCGGATCCAGAGGCACTACGATCAGGCTCGAAGTCAAGTGAATGCTCGCCTACGCGAGGCGATCGCGGATCGGGCCGATCGGCACAATGAAGAAGTTCGACCGCACTCGATCGAGGCTGGATCTCAGGTGTGGCTGTACCTGGATCGTGTGAAAGAGGGGTATGCCCGGAAGGTGGATCACCTGTGGCACGGCCCGTTCCGTGTTGCGGAGAAGGTGAACGAGTACACGATCAAGCTTCAGATCGCTGGTACGGACTATCACCTGTTTCCGATCGTGCATGTGTCGAAACTGAAGTTGGTCAGGGGCTTCCCCGATCGACCGCAGATCGCGCTCACGCTGGACAAAGCAGATCGACTTGATTTCGACGAAGTCTTACTTCCGGAGGACAGCTGGGCCCCAGATCGAGACCCGAACGAGTACGAAGTGGAGGAGATCACGGATATGCGGGCGGGTCGAAGGACGCAGTACGGCCGGACTTATCGAGAATTCCTGGTACACTGGAAGGGTTACGACGAGTCTGACTGGGTCGACGAAGCTGATCTCAGCTGTGGACCTTTGCACGAGTTCCTTCGAGATCGCGTGAACCGGAACCCATTCAGCGCGATGCAGTCTCACGAGGAGGAGTAAGATCGGGCCACAGGGTGAGCGGGTGACCTTGGTGAGCGAGATGGATGACGGATCGACGGGGAGGCCGTCGATCAGAGGACGGGGTTTCATATTACTGAGTATGTGCGTGTGAGTGCAGATCGGATGATTCTGGAGCGACAACAGGGAGTTACGATGGTGGATATTGGCTGATCGTGTTGGCGACGGATGGATCGACTCAAGAGAGATGGTGATCGACGAGGAGTTGGGATATTGCGATGAACGGTGCTACGGCCGCGGCTGAGCCCCGACGTCGTGGTTGAACTCGTTGCGAAGACGCGAGATCTACAGCGCCGGATACGATTGGAGTATCGGTTTCACTAAGCGATCGTGATTGCTCGCCTCAACCAAGCGGATTGATCTGGGCAGACTAGGCCATGGAGATGCATGGAGAGTTGGAGACTGTGTCCGCAGTGAGCCGCCGTACGACCCGACTTACGGACAGGGGGCGGTTGTGGTGAAGGTCTGAAGGAGCCACGACGTCGAGTGACATAGCGGCATGAGTGATCGATAAGTCAAGGAGCGATGGATCTGTGGGTTCTAGTGTCACCAATCCGTTGATCAACCCGACGTGAAAGTAGATCAACCGTGTGAAGGAATCTGCAGCTGATGAGAAGATCAAGGAGTCTAAGATGGGTGAAGTCAAGATTGATTATGGACGGGCGTGGGTCGAGACTGATCAAGGTCGAAGCATACAGGTTGTCGATCGACTACGGCTGATCGTGGATCGCCGATCGCCCAGAATGAGAAGCACATGGGGGCAAAGCCGGGACAAGAGTCCAGTTGTTGTTTAGTTGTAGGATGATAGATAAGATGGTAGCGGTAGAGAGACACAGGCTAAACATAAATCAGAACGCAATTTGCACAGAAAACCACAAGTGCCCTTAAGTCACCCCCTTGACTAGCGGTACGGTTAAGACTAGATTAATACATTGGCCAGCTTGACCTGCTCTAGTGATCTTTCTCTCGTGCGCAAGTCCTCGATCGACTGGATAGTACTTGGCCGGCGATCGTTTTTCCTCTCGATCAATCTCGACCCCGCTATAGGAAGCGGCAAGCAACTGAAAGGAAGGAACACACCCGGAAAGGCAACTACAGGCCTTGGATCAACTCCAGGCCGACCGATCGCAGCGAAGAACCCTCGATCGGAGCGTATACTCGGACGCAGAGCGAAGACTACCGCGCTGCTCCACAAACTATCCCCGCGTCACGCCAAGACATTCGATCTTCACCAAGTGCGGCATCTTCGGAGCCCCGAGAGAGCAGATCCAGCCCGCCGACGGGTACACAAGGCGAGAACAAGTTCAGCCGATCACGGATCGTTGGGGGACCCCTCCGTTGGTCGGTGTCTGGGCGCTGGTGGGAAGCTTGATCAGGCCTCAACCAGATTTTGGCCGATCCCGCTACACCACAGTATCGAGCCCGGCAGGCAACATCGACTAAGCGGTGACTGCTATAGTTGACAGCCGAGTTCTAGGCGGTGACTTCACGAGCTACCAGGTTTGTGTTTATTGTTGCTAAATGGCTATAAAATTTTCGCTAACAACTTTGGTTTTAGGATACCCTGTACGCCAGCAAGATTTGCTAGCTTTACGCTCCGTCGCACTACTGCGATCAGCTCGACTGTACTAGCACGAATGTAATACTCGCCCCAGGAGTTGATCCACTGCGGCTTCATAACGGAAATAGCGATCTTGAACTCCACCGAG